AAACCAAAAGGTCAACAACTGATCCACTACAAAATGAGAAGCCAAGGGAGCAAGGAAATTAGATTACTAGACCCAACAACCGGGATGCAATTAGAAAATGTCACGTTGTGAAAAGTATAATTCATGTTACTAAATTTTGTATAGAAATTTTCAGATGGTAACCCAATTTGCTGTGTAAACTAACTGTAAGCACAATGAAATATTCAAAAGAAAAACTATTGGATGTTCTTAATAGCAGTATGAAGAGAGCAGAAGAATGAATTAGTGAACTTGACAAAATAACAGAAATTATCCAATCTAATAACAAAGAAAAATTGAATGGGAAAAAAGAACAGAGCCTCAAGAACCTGTGGATCGATAAGAAATGATCTAATAATGTGCATGTCACAGGAATCCCAATTTGAAGGGCAAAGATGCAGAATTACAGATAGGACACCATATCTGCAGGGGAAACCATTAGAAACTCAAGGTCAGAAGGAAGTAGCACAACATTTTTCACGTACTCAAAGAAAAAACAAACTTGTTCTACCCAAAATCCTATAGCCAGTGAAAATATCCTTCAGAAACGTCTATTCAAATCTTTCACCCATTTTAAACTTGAGCTGTCTCTTTAGAGTAGAGTTTAATAAAAATTCTTTCCATACTCTAATTCCCTATATATATATTTACAAATATTTTCTTCATTCTGTTGGCTATTTTTTCCATTTTTTAAGAGTATCTTGAAGTATAAAAGTTTTAAATTTTGATGAAATCCAATATACTTTTTCATTGGTTGCTTGTGCTTTTGATATATCTATGAAGCAATTAGTTATGTCAAGGTCATGAAGATTTGCATATGTACTTCCTTCTAAATCTGTTATAATTTTAGCTAATACATTTTGAGTTCATTTGTATATAGTGTGAGATAGCGATCCAACTCATTTTTCTTGTATGTGGGTATCCAACTGTTGTAGTAGCATTTGTTGAAAAGATACTTCTTAGCCTTATTTTAAAAAATTGACTATAAATGTATGAGTTTATATATGACTCAGAATTCAATTTCATTTATTTCTTTGACTATCTTTATATCTGTACCACATTGTCTTGATGATAGCATTGTAGTAAGGTTTGAACTCAGGAAGTTTGAACTATCCAAGTTGTTTTTCAAGATTGTTTTCTGTATTCTGGCTGCATTCCCATATGAATTTTAGGGTCAAGTTTTCAGTCCTTTAAGAATTAAAGCAAATCATCATATTCTCAGATGAAGGAAAATGAAGTGAACTTGTCAACTTGAAAGAATGGCTAAATGACGTTCTTTAAATAGAAAGGAAATGATAAAAGAAGAAACCTTGATAAATCAGGAATGAAAAAAAGAGTACAGTCAGCAAAAGTACAGCATGAAGTAAGGGGAGAGGCACAAGAAACCCACTTGACCTGGCTTTAATGGCTGGATGATCAGAACTCAGCTAGAGGGAGAAAGAAGAGGGGAAAAAAGAGAGTAATCCACTACAATTTGAACTTGACCTATACTTATAGATGTAGCAGCTCAAAAGAGGGAACACATCTTTACAGTGAGGATCATTCCCAACCCCTCGGTACACAGGGTTGACAGGGATGGGCAACTTAGATATTGGCTACCCAAAACGGCGGGGGTGCGGGTGCTACAAAGACAATAAGTGACTGGCTTACAAACTTTCAAGAGGGAGCCTAGTTCCAGAGAATGTGGGAGAAAGTAGAATCTCCACTAAGTGGTTTTCAACCTGTCTGGATGCTGCTGACGAAAGGAGATGGGATAAGACTCTTGTGGCACAATAGTGAATAATTGCTATCAGGACTGACTGTGAGGGTTGCAAATATAAGGTAGACATTGTTTTGTAACAAAAGGAGGGGAGTGGTTGATTTTGCAGTGCAGGAGCAGAGGACCCTGGGACCATCAAGAGAGCAGAGCGGAGTGCGGGACCCTACCCAGAGAAGCAGTGACTTCAGAGATGGAGGCAGAGATGGTGACTTGGAGAGATGGAGTGGCTGGGGATTCTGGACTCGGGGAGGGAGAAGGGCTGTGTGCTGATGGCCAGTGTGGGGCAGGCTTGCAGAGTGTACCCTTTGCTTGTTTGAATGGTTATATATATTCCTGAGTGCTTCGGTATACATCCAAAAAACAAACAAACAAACAAACAAAACAGGAATGGAAGCAAATGCTGTTGAATGATGATGATGCATGGAGGGGATTGTAATCATTGCAATGAAATGATGAATGTAAAGCTGATGTTCTCCCATATAAACTATCATTCAATTTACAATAAAAACTAAAAAAACAAAACAAAACAAAACAAAACAAAAACCTAAGAGAGCCCCACATAAATAAAAGAATATAGTCCATGCTCATAGATCGGTAGCCTCAACACATAGTAATGTTAAAATGTCGATACTACTCAAAATTACCTATAGATATAATGCAATCCCAATCTGAATATCAAAAACATTCTTCACTAAAATGGGGAAAAAATCATCATCAGCTTTTATGGAATGGAAAGAGGCCTCGAGTAGCCAAAGCAATATTGAAGAATAAGAATAAAGAAGACCTCATACTTCCTGATCTGAAAACATACTATACAGCCACAGTAATAAAAACAGCCTGGTACTGGTTCAATAACAAACTCACAGACCAATGAAATAGAATTGAGAAACCAGAAATAAATTCATCTATTCATGGGTAGCTGATTTTCAACAAGGGGCAGAAGTCCATTCAACGGGGAAAGAAGGGTCTTTTTAATACATGGTGGAAGCAAAAGTGGGTATCTATTTGCAGAAAAATGAAACAGGACCCATACTGCACACTATGCACAAAACCAAACTCAAACTCTAAAAAATTCTAAAAAGACCTAAAAGCTACAGTTAAAATTATGCAGCTCCTAGAAGATAACCCAGGTACAAAACATGGAACATAATTTTATTTGCAGAAACATTATTAAACACAATCACAAATTCATGAACAAAAGACAAACTAAATAACTAGGGCCTCTTAAAATTACATATGTATGCTCATCACAAGACTTTGTCAAAAGTAAAAAGAGAACCTACAGATTACGGGGAAAAATCTTTGGAATGACATATCTGATAAGGGTCTAATCTCTAAAATATATAAAAACTTTCAACAACTCAGCAACAAAAAAAGCAAACAATTCATTTAAAAAATGGGCAAAGGACAGAACAGACATTTTACCAAAGAGAACATTAAAGCAGCCAACAAACTCATAAAAAGATGTTGGCAATAATTTGTCATTTGTTGTTGTTATTGTGTTCCATCGAATAGGTTCCAATTCATAGCAACACGGTATAAGGTTTCTGAGAGTGTTGGGTTTGAACTGCTGACCTTGCTGACCAGTCCAATGCTTATCCTACAGCACCACAGAGTGATCCAAATCAAAACTACAATGAGATTATCATCTCAACCCTTCAAAAGTGGCACTGATTTTAAAAATCAAATGCTTGACAGTTGGAATTGTAATCAAATGCTGCTGGTGGGTTGTAGAATGGTACAACCACTATGGATATCGGCCTGGTGCTTCCTCAGAAAGCTAGATGTAGTAATACCTTAGCATCCTGCAATCTTACTCCTAAATTTATACTTATGTGCCGTGGAGTCGGTTCCGACTCATAGTGACCCTGTACAGGGTTTCCATGGCTGTAAATCTTTACGGGAGCAGAAAGCCTCATATTTATCCTGCAGAACAGCTGGTAGTTTCAAACTGTTGACCTTGAGGTTCGCAGCCCAATTCGTAAAGACTACACTACCAGAGCTCCTTAAATTTATATAGAGATCTAAAATCAGTGACATGAATAGACGTATACACATCTATGTTCATTACAACGTAATTCACAAAAGCAAAAAATGGAAGCAACCTAAATGTTCACCAGTGAATGGATAAAATATGAATTCTCAAAATATACTATAACACGGCTGAATCTGGAGGACATTATGCTGCGTGAGATTAGTCAATCACAGAAGGGTAATTCGTGTATGATTGCAATTCTGTAAGCAGAAAAGACTGTATAAAATAAGTTCATTGGTGGTTGCAGGGATTAAAAGGAGAATTGTTCTCTAAATAGTAGGCACTTGTTATTTTTGGTGACTGAGAGCAATACCAAATGTGGGTGGGATGTACCTAATTTGAACAAGGTAAATGATGACACTAAGAAATACACAATAAGGGACATTTTTGGTAAATCTATAAAATACAATTTTTGCAAAAAAACAGCAATAACCCGAAAATGTGTTTGATTATATAGGTGGATATGCATGCAAACATATAAATAGGAAGATATGTGGGTGCATGTATAGATGTATCTGTAGGCACACATGTATGTGTGTGCTGCTTGTATTTTCATGTATATATTAAAGCTCACAGGGGACACAATTACAGATACCTTCTAGACATAACCAAACACTTTGTCTGATTGGATTACTAGATTTGAAGTTTTAGGACCATAATCTCTTGGGACAACTCAGTCAATTGGCACAGTACAGTTCGTAATGTTTTGGTTTCGTGACTAGCATCTGGGGTCTTAGAAGCTTGCAAGTGGACACCTGAGATACAACTATTGGTCTCCATTCATCTGGAGCAAGAAAAATAAAGAAACCAAAGACTCCAAGAAGAAACTAGTCTACAGGATTTATTATCTACATGAACCACGAAAGAACTAGGTGTTGCTCAGTTACCACTACATTCTGACCAGGAGTACAATAGATTCTGACCAGGTCCTGAATAGAGTGTCAGAAACATGTAGGACAAAACTCAAATTCCTTTACAAAGCCCAACTTATCGAACCAGTGGAAACTAGAAGAATTGCTGAGACTATCTCCCTGAGATCCCCTTTAAATTGTGTACTGAAATCACAAGGTCATCTGTTGGTTAAATTACAGATTAAATAAACAATGCACCCATGAATACTGTGCATCAAAAAAAAAAAAAAAATCATTTCTCTGAGACCAAATGATCAACATTCACCCTAAAGCAACTATGAGAAGGTAAGGGGGCTGTGATGGGAGACACGGAAATTAGATTAATGGAAATGGAGCAGCAGAAAGGAAATAATAGGAATGCTGATACATCGTGGAAAATGTCACCAATGTCACTGAACATGTACAGAAACTGTTAAATGGCAACTTTACTTGCTGTTTAAAATTTTACCAAAACAATACTAAAGGGGTAATAATCTTTATATACCAAAGAAAAAATAGATTTTGTCATGATATATTGGGAGAAAACCAATATCCCAAGTCTATATTGTCTAAAGAAATCCATCACTGATCTAAATACAGCAACACCTCTGCTAGGTTACAAGTCAAATGAGATCATTCAAAGTCTAGGACCAGAGGGAGGAGATGCAGATTATTCAAAGGAGCGGTCATCTTGATGGTGAAGGGAGTGAGGGGACCATACCTGGGAGTTTAGGAAGCATGTGAATGATTCCCGGGTTCCAGCACCAAAATATGTTACAGTGTGAAGCATCCTGGTCCAGTCCCAGTATCCCTTTGAAGAACTGATAGGGGGAAGGCACAATACACACATGAAAGGAGCCAAAGGTCAAACAAGCAAGATTTATTGAAGAACAGACATACTCAAAGAGGAGAACAGTGAAGAAGTGCCAAGTGAGTTCCTTTTTATGCCGTTTTTCCTCCAGGGCAGGCTCCAGGTGTCCTGATATTTGTCTCCTGGTCCTATATTTCCTATCACAATTTACGGCCCATAATTGGTTGTTTCTTCCTGGGTTTGCTGTATTCCTTTGTCATTACATCAGGTCAGTCTTAGTCTTTTCTCCACATGCTTTATTTGGGGGAAGTCCCTTTCTCTATTTTTCCTTTTACTGGACTCTACTAACAGGTCAGGTAGTTTCCTGCATTCCTTGTAGTTCATCTGTGGTTAGCCCCCCTTTCCTGTCTAACAGGATGACTTTTTCAAAAATGGTTCTCAAGTCTGACTCGTCTTAAGGTGCTGATGACTCTACCTCCATCAGTAAAGCGGATGATGTAAAACTAGGATGCACGGTGACCGTAGGAATACACAAACTATTTTCACCAACGACGAAGAACTGGTGAGAAGCCAAGCTCTGGGTGATTGCATGTTTGATACTTCTCTGCAAGTCTGTCAATACGAAAAATATAGGAAGTGGTTGGCTGGTCCTACTTTATAACCATAAAGTGGTCAAAGAAAGAGATGAACTCAGGACTTTGGAATCACAGCTCAAAAATCACATAAAAGACCCACTTTCCACTTGTGCCCTGAAAGAAAGTCTTATTTATTGTAATTTGCTGTTGTTAAGTGCTGTCGAGTCTATTCCAACCCATAGCAACCCTGTATAGGGTTTCCAAGGAGCAGCTGGTGAGCTCAAACCACCAACCTTGCAGTTCAAATGACTTTGCAGTCTGTTGCATTAGCCAACAACGCCACACCAGGACTCCATTTATTGTAATAACAGAATGGTTACTGACCCAAACCAAACCCAGAGTCTTATCATGAAAGTGGCTTGATTACAGTATAAATTGAATTTCTAACCTTAAAGTGTCTGAAGTTAAAGTGAGAGTATTGATTGGAAGGAAATTAGACCTTGAAATCTGGGATGGGGATATATGGGTAGATAATAGTAGGGGAACACTGAGTCCTTAAATTCTGTTGAATCACTCCTGTCAACAGAACAAGTCCTCTTACACCCATCTGATGAGATTAACCCAGTTTGACTTGAGTCTTTGAGATATCACCCAGGGCACTCCCCAATTTTGCATCTAGACTTAAGTCCCAGAAAGCTGAGTTCTAAAAAGTGAGGTTCAAAATTCAATCCAGGAAGAGGTAAGCTACACCAAAAGGAAATGGTAGATTTTTCTAAGATGAACAGAAACCTGGAGACTATGTGTAAAAATGGCTAATAAAAGTACAGGAGGGGGCGGGGCCCAGCCTGAACCGGCCTGATTGAGCAGCCGGACCCAGGCGCCATGGAGGAATACGCTCGGGAGCCTTGGTAGCTTTGCAGCGTGGGGAGGCCTGTTCTCCACGATCGACTGTGGCTTGGTGCGGCTACGGGGCAAGGAGGATCCCTGGAACTCCATCACCAGTGGAGCGTTGACTGGTGCTGTTCTGGCAGCTCGCAGTGGCCCACTGGCCATGGTGGGTTCAGCGATGATGGGGGGCATCCTGTTGGCCCTCATTGAGGGTGTCGGCATCCTCCTTACTCGCTACACTGCCCAGCAGTTCCGCAATGCACCCCTATTCCTGGAGGATCCCAGCCAGATGCCCTCCAAAGAGGGTGCCCCGGCCCCAGGCTATCCCAGCTACCAGCAATACCACTGAGGAAGTGACCGCCTAATGCCGCCACCGTGGGAGTCCCTCCTCGTTTCCCTCCCTGATTATCTACCTCGAAGGGAGGGCTGGCTCCCAGTTGGCCCTAGGACCCTCCTGAGAGGGCCTCTACTTTGCCTCCTTGTCCCAGTGTGGGGGTGGGACATCCCAGCTGTCCTGATGGATGGGTTCCATTTTACTCTTTCAGAGCACCTCAGCCCCA